ATATTTATTTATATTTTATATATCTTTCACATTCATTACATTTCATGCAATTTTAATATATTACGTTATGTTTTAAACATTCGTTTGAAATGATTTAATATTTTATTTTATCATTTATTCTCACCATTAAATATATGAAGTATAATTGTTAGTTAAATTGATATTATCTATTATTCAATTATTCATTATTATGTTTTTGAATATACTAAATCTCATAAGATTGTCAACTAGTTATTTCAAATGTCATTACCACAATTAACATTATTGTTTATTTTATTCAAGTTAAATATTAGTAACAACAGCATTATAAAATTCATATAAAACCAATTTTTCATCAAAAAACATTGAAATAATGTAAATGATATAACTATTATAATATACTATTAAAATAATATTAATTTCATTAACTATCAATAATTCATTCTCAAATAACCAAAGTTATAATAAAAAAGAACGATTTCACTTGTTATAAAGACAATTATCATAATTCAATTAGAATATTTAATCGAAACGAATATGAATAAAAATATAAGATAGAACATCATAGTGATGAAATAATAAGATAAAAATGAAGAAAGGCTATAAATAATTAAGAATAATAAAATATGAAAATGAAGAAGATTGAAAAGAAAGAGATTGTATAAATCATGTGATAAAAGAAATAATAAAAATGAATGTAATACAATATATCAAATTATTCCAAATAAGAATAAATTAACTACATTAATAAAATAATTAAAGAATAAATAGAATGAAATATATAAAAAATTGAAATGAAATGATTAGTTAATTATTAAATTACAATGAAAATGAAATGATAATAAATTAACAAATAAAATAATGAAGCATGTTAATATAAAAAGAAATGAATTTAAACAATGAAATTAATTCAAGAAAGTTGTATCTTTATATGAAATTAACAAATAAATAATTACATCAAATAAGAAATGAAATGGTGTGTTATTTGTAAATATAAAATAACAATAAATGAAGTTATAATAATAAATTATATTGTAAATAAGAATGAACAGATTAAATATGGGTTAATAAATGAATATATGTTGAGAATAAATAAAATAACATGTAAAATGAATGTAATGAAGATATAATTGAGAATAAAACATGAGAGGAGAATATGAAATTAAGCAACAGTTAAAATGAAAATGATAAAAACAAAAGAAGAATAGAAAATAAAGAAATAAGAATAATGAGTGTTATAATAAAAAGATAATAATAGAATGATAAATTTGACAATTACTAATAAATAAGAAATGGATAAAACTCCCTGATATAAAATAATACAAAATAATAGAATAAAATAAATTGAATTTAAAAAATAATGACAATAAATTGAATAACCAATAAAGAAACAGTAAGAATGATCAAAGAACAAAACATTGTAGTTGAAATTTTACATAATGATATAATAAATAATAAATAAAAAACATGAAACGTCTAATGAAATAATGTTAAGGCAGACAATGAGAATATCGAGATATAGAAGTACCTCATGAACAAAACTCGAAAGAGAGGGAATGAAATTCAATGAAACAAATAAAATAGAATAGAAAACCAATACCTACTAAAACTTAATTTAGTGATTGTTATTTTTCTTTTCTTATTTATTAAAAACACTCTCATTGGGTGTGAATATTTCAAATAAAGTAAAATAAATCAACATTGAATTGTATCCATTTTTAATTCACCATTTCATTCATTGGCAGATGAATGAAATGTTCATATTCTTCATTGTTTTGTTTTTATTCTTTTTAGTTCATTTTCAATTAATCAAGATTGAATCATTTCATTTCAATTACTATGATTCGTTTTGGTGTGAAATGGTATGGAAATTCTTTTCCACAAAGTGCATTTGATATTCCTTCATATGAAAATGATTGTTGACTACAATATGATTGTGTTTTATAACTTTCTTTACAAACATGAATATCACCAAATCCATTTCCAAATCCAAACAAACTATCACCTAATTGATAAAATAAATAAAATGCACGTTCTGGTTGTTTAATATCAAATTTCTTCATTCCTTTCATTCTTCCATTTGATTTTAATGAAAATATAAATGATTTTGAATCATTTATCCAACCACCAACTTTATCAATTTTCTCACTAACATATCCTCCAAATTTATTTCCTTCTGAATCTTCAATAATAATCATTATATGTTCTTTATTCTTTATTCTTTTATCAAATACTGATGTATTTTTATTCCAATTATCAATATCTGAATCAAATAGTATATTTCCTACTTTTTTATTTGTCCATTCTTCTAGTTGTAACATTTCTTCTATTGTATTCATTTCTCTCATTATTCTTAATCTATTCATTCTTTCTAAATAATCACTGTAATATGTTTCCCATTCTTCTTTCTTCTTATTAAATTCTGACGTGATTGTATCTCTTTCTTCTGGTGTTTTTATTATTTTGTTTTTCATTATCATTTCTTCAATTGAAATGATTTTATCTATTAATTCATTCCGTGTTTTACTTAATGTTTCTTCATCATTATTACATTCTTCTATGATTCTTGACATTTTATTCTTCACTATTTCTATTTGGTTGATTGTTTCTTGACTTTTTTCTATCACTAATTTTCTTCTTCTTTCTGTTTCATCCATTCTATCAAATATTCCTTCTCCTCTTTTAATTGCTTCTGAATATGTTTCATTCTCTTTTATTTCAAATACTTCATTTTTAATACTTCCTATATAATATTGATAATTCTTAGTAGTATCATCAATTGATTGTTGAATGTTTGGAAGTGTTTCTACTTCTTCTTTAAAAAATTGGTTGTTCTTGTTTATTAACTCTTCCATTTTAATTTAATTTGATGTTTATAAGTTCAAAATATGGATGTTTAAATAGTTAATAAACGTTATTAACATCAAGTCAATTATTATTTTAAACATCATTCTATTTTAAATAAATGTTATTTTTATTTTACAATAACAATAATTATATAATAACAACAAATTAGAAGATAATAACAAAGAAGAGCAAAACGTCTCATCATAAATAAAACCAAAAGCACAAAATAATGAGATGATGATTAAGATACAAATAAAAAAGACTCAATCCAGCTACTTCCAATGAAATAAGAAAAAAAAACTAAAAAAAAATAATAAAGAAAGAATAAAGTTGAGAAAAAAAAAAAGAAAAAAAGAAGTATGAAGTGATATAGAGACGTAAAAAAATAAATTTAAAGGAAAGAACAAATAAAAAGAAAAAAAAAATAATAAGATCTAAATGACTATTGAAGGGGGGTTTTTAAATTATTTCTAAATAATTCTATTTTTTAATATTTTCATTTTAAAAAGAAAAAAAAAATGAACTTAAAAAGAACTTGTACATACTTTCATATGTCTACCCTTAATTATAAAATTGTCTTGGTAGGTGATGTTGCTACTGGTAAAACTGCATTAATTCAAAGACTTATTACAAATGGATTTACTGAAGGACATGCTCAAACCATTGTTGCATCATGTCAATCGAAAACAATAGTATTAAAAGATAATAAATCAGTAAATATTAATGTTTGGGATACTGCTGGACAAGAAAGATTTAGATCATTGATATCTAATTTCTATAGAGGGTCATCAGGAATTATTGTATGTTACGATGTATCTGAAAATTCATCACTTGATGTTGTTCCAACATGGGTTGAAGCTGCACAAAATTCAGTAGATGATAATGTGTGTTGGTTATTAGTTGGATGTAAGTCTGATTTAGTTAATTCAGTTGATGAAGAAAAATTAAAAGAAATTATTGAAAAATATCATTTTACTCATTTAACATGTTCATCTAAAACAGGTGATAGTTTGTTTAATTTTGATTTTATTAAATAATGACCTATTACTCTCATAAAGAAATTTATAATTCTTATTACTTAGATGTTAATGAAGTTTTTACAACGTTATGTCAATTAATTGTTGATAAATTAAATTCTAATAATGAAACTACAACTCCAAATAAACAAGAAACTGAACAACAAGATGATGAAATAATTAAAATAGTAGCTCAACCACAACGAACAGAAGCAAATGGAGAAAAGAAAGAAGGAGATTGCAAGTGTTAAAGAACAAAAAAAAGAAATTTGGGGAAGAGGTATTTAAATACATTCAAAAACAAAATAATTATTTTTAATTTTTGTTTTGTTTTAAGTTTTTAAATAAATAATAAACAAGAATGTGTTAAGCCTTAATTATTATATTAAATGCTGTTCCATCAACTATTCTTTTTGAAAATAAAGTATCATTACCATTTACTTCAGCTCCTGCAAAAATTATATTAAAACTATTTGTGTCATATTCAAATAATTTTGCTGCTTTTTCTTTTAATTCAATAAATGTTGTTTGTTGTGGAACTTTAGTTTCAATAACTTTTTTTTCACATTTAAGTTTAATTGTTATTTCTCCTTTTCCAATTAATTTAGCAGTTATTTCATTATATTCTGTAACTAAGTAATAAAGTGGTTGAAATGATTGCATTTGTAGTGATTGAATAATGTCTAAATCGGATAATTCAGTTGGTTCATTTTTTTCATTCATATAATATAATGCGATGTATTGTTTAGGTTGTACTAATACTCCAGACTGCATAATATCTTCTTTAACTTTACCTATCATATCCATTTTTTTACATTTAATTGAATATCTAATTGATGGATCAAGTAAAGAAATGACATATAATACAATAGTATCTTCTTGGTCATTCAGTTTTGTATAAATTTGTAAATTAATTTCTTTTTTATCAAATGTAGACACCGTTCCTTTATCGTCTAATTCTTTTTGTTCATAAAAAAGATGAATATAAGATTTGTCAATACAATATGCTGATTCTAATTCTTGTTTAACATCACCCCATGTATAAGACTTTGGTGGAGTAATTTTTTTTTTTGGAATATTTTCATCTCGTGGAAGGTCAGTGTTAACAAAAGAAAGAGAAACATAACCACCTAACATAAAGTTATTAAAATGAAAAATATGAGATATTCAAATGATGTTTATAACATTTTTTTTTGTTTTTGTTTTTTTGTTTTTAAGAAATAATAAATTAATAAATTAAATTATTTATTATAATAAATTATTAATAATAAATTAAATTATTTCTTATTAAAAAAATAAAAAGGGTAAATAATAACTTTGTAAATTCACTTGGTGAAGGAAACTAGTGATCCAATGGTTTGTAACAGTTTTGTTTTCTTCTGACTTCATTTTTTCTTTTAATGAAGAAAATATTTATATGAATAGACTGATTGTAATTCTAAAATTTTTCCACTTGCAGAAAAAGAACTTCAAAACAAATTAATTGAATTTGTTCAACAAGCTCAACAAAATGGATTTGTTAAGAAAGGAGCAAATGAAGCAACCAAAGCACTTAATAGAGGAAAAGCAGATATTGTTATTATAGCTGCTGATACTAAACCAATTGAAATTGTTTTACATCTTCCAATTCTTTGTGAAGATAAAAATGTTCCTTATGTATTTGTTGGATCAAAAGCAGCTCTTGGAAGAGCATGTGGTGTTTCAAGAGATGTTATTGCAGTTGCAATTATTAATGATAAAGGAAAATCAGCACCATCAGTTGAAACAATGAAAGATGAAATTGAAAAGCTTTTATTCTAAAAAGTGATTGATTTTTTTTTGTTATTGGTTTTAAAACATATTTTATTGTTATTTTTAAATTTCAAAATTGAAGTTAAAAAAAAATAAATCAAAACCCTTTTTCTTATTTTTTAGTTTTAAAATATATCATTTCATGACATTCTTCTGTGCTAATTGTGGTAATTTATTGGTTGTTGAACGAGGAACTGAATTATATTTTAAATGCAATACTTGTCCTTATAAATTTACATTTAATAAAAAAATTGTATATGAATCAGAATTAAAAAGAAAACAAATTGATGCAGTATTAGGTGAAGAACAATGGAAAAATGCTCAAAAAACTGAAAGTTTGTTATATTAATTATTTGGTATACAATTAATGATCAATATTTATTGTTTAGTTATTTGTGAAAAATGTGGACATAATTCTGCTTATTTCATGCAAATTCAAATTCGATCAGCTGATGAACCAATGACAACCTTTTATAAATGTGCTAATTTTGATTGTGGATATCAATGGAGAGATGGATAATTGCAAATGTAATTTGAGTTTTAACAGATATGTTTTGTAAATGTCAAATTTGATTTTATCAATTATTAGTTTTGATTAAAAAGGAGATTATTTGTGGTGAAAGGTTGAAAAATGATTATTATAAGAAGAAAGGTTATTGAGTTAGTTATCACAGTTTTAGTAAAGTGATTGAAAAAAAGTATTAAGAAAAAGAACCGACAAAAAAGGAAATTTTAATTTTTTTTTTGACTAATTTCTATTAAGAAACAAACCCCTTCTTTAAATTTAAATTTTCACTTAAAAGTTTAATTTATTCTTTTGTTACTTGAATGCCACCTACCATCAAATTCGTTTTTCCTTTTCATCAATTCCTTCTTGGTCAAATGGTGGATGGGAAATTTATCGTTGAAACTAAACATAATTTGATGGTTGTTACTACTACAATTGCATACGTTTGTGTTGAAGTTGTTTTAGAAGAAAATGAAAAAATAGAAAAAACGATTCATCAACACACTGTTGTTATTAAATCATCAAATGAACCATTTATTATAAAAGATGGAGATGAATTTCCGTTTCATATTTCTGTTCCTATTGACTTACCTCCAACAATCAAAAATGATTGTGTATCAATAGAACATCGGTTTATTGCAACAGTTGTTAAAGCAAAGACAACTTCATTTTTTGGTCAAAAGAAATTAGAGGAACATATTATTGTTGATATGCTTTACCCTCATCTTAGTGGATTATCATATTTTACTAAACGCCATGAATTTTCTGTCGAAGGGTATTCTCTGTCTGTTAATCTTGAAAGAGACATATATTCTCTTGGACAAAATCTTCGTGTTAATTATTTATTAGAAGGGTCAGCAGAAAAAGATGTTCAATTACCTTTACTGATGTCTTTAGTAAGAACATTTACAAATAGAAGTACTGGAGAAATGGCTGTTATTACGTTTGTTAATTTATTATTTATTTCTTCAACGTTATTATATATCATATCATTTAATTAAGCAAAGAGTCTCATAAAATAGAAAACATGATGATCATATTAGAATTAATCAACCTATTTCACTTGAAATCACAGTTCCAAATACAATATGTCCAACAGTAAAATCAGCTATATCTGAAGTTAATGTTGAATATTCTCTTATAGTTTCAGTTGATATGTTATCTCTTTGTTGTAAAAGAATTCAAATTGAAGGAAAAATTCCAATTCTTATTACTGATATGCAACAAAGTTCAAAATCTAACTTCAATGAAATTGGTACATTAATTACCCCAAATGAATTTAATGAAAATTATAAAGAACAATTAAATTCTGTTTTAAATAATTATCAAATGGTATTACAAACATTATTAGATATGAAATTTTATAAAGACTTTGTTGTTCCTGATTGTCCTAATAGGAGAATGTTCAATATTAATCAATATATATCATTAGTTAAAGAAATACTTGAGTCAATTCTTTCACTTGTTATAAATCCAGTTACATGGAGAGACTCAACAACCCTTCTTCCTAATTATTGTAGTATTAGAAAAATGACAAGAATGTTTCAAGTAGCTATTCATTTTTCTGTTAATTTGATTTTATTAATTCCACCAACAGCATTACGTACTTCAATTTATGTTAATTGTCTTCAAACATTAAATTGTTATCAAAATTTATTATATCATCTTTATATGAAAAAGAAATCAATAGAAGAAAGTATAGAAGAACTTAGAAAATCAATATCACATTATTTAGAATGTATTATTGAAGCAGATGAAGACAAATGGGTTGTAGAATTAGATGAATTTAGAAAATGGTTAAATGGTTTGACTTTAGAGTCTATTCCAATAAATACAACAATACCTAAAGAAAATATAATGGATCAACTAAAACCACTATTTCATGAAGTACCAAATTTATTGTATAATATTAGAATGGCATGTGATACTGTTTCATTAGAAGGACTAAAAGACTTAATAGCTATATTTAAAACCAAAGTAATTAGTTTTATTGGATTAATACAAGGATTAATTACGGATGAACGTTCCAAAGAATTTCTTCGATGTCAATTTATTAATTTTAATCGTGGATTAGAGTCATATGTTGAAAGAGCAGAAGTATTAAGTTTTGAGCCAACATATAGAACAGAAAAATATTGGGATTATTCTAAAACTGTTTTATCAATGTGGAATATTGTTTCTATAGTTATTGAAGACAACCCAATTAATAATAATAATGATTATTTTCTTATTTACCAATGTGGTATGGAAAATGATAATTTTGTTATTAGAGGTGAGAATGGAATAATTGTTGAAAATCCATGTATATATTGCGTTTATAAAGATGGTTTATCTTCAATTATTAAAGAAGGAATTTATAGATTAAAAACAAATTATAGTGATTTTATTGAAATGCATTCAAAAGATTTCTTAATGGTATTTAGTAAATTTTTACATTTATTATCTGCTTCATATCTTCATCCAAATGTTTTTAGTAAATTTGTTTGTTATTATTATTTAAAGTAATATTATTTTAAATGAAATAAAAATAATTAATAAATAGGTAAATCAATTTCAGATTAAACAACGTGATGTTCAATTATTTAATCCTTTAAAAGAACTTTTTATTCGTATCGAAAATTTTATTCAAAAATTGATTATATTTTATAGAATTAATACTTCGAGAGATCCAACTTCAATTGTATATGATACATGTCATGCACAGAAAAGAGTTGTTGAACAATTAATGGTACTTGTAAGACTTTGTCTTTTACATGGTCAAATTTATTCTCCAATTTACGTTCAAATGATTGATGAATTTCAGAAATTCAGAGAAATGGTATATGGGTTATTACTTCGTCAATTTCATCGTTTAAATGAAGAAGTTAAACATTCTAATGCAATTGATGATGAAATTCAAGGTTCATTTTTTGGTGCAAAACAACGACAAGTGGTATATACTCTTCTTTTTGAAGAACATGTTGATTGTTCTGAAAGTGCTGATATTCCAATTCAAATAAAAGAATTAGAAGAAGAGGTGGTGAGTAGTGCTGAAGAATTCTGAATTGTTATTAATTAAATTAAATTTGAAATAATAAAAAAAATAAATGGTTAACAATAAATTGATTATACATAGTTTTATAAAATAGCTAATAATTGTTTAACATCTTTACGAACTTCCATATCATCAATATTAATTAATTCACATAATACAAGTTGAATATTTTGATTAGTAATAAATAATTTTGGATTATTACTATTTTTTAAATGGTATAATAAAATTTTAATAATATCAATATTTTTAAATTCAAATAATTTTAATATAAAAGGAGAATATTGTTCTGATTTAATAATTAGTGAAATACACATTGTTGTAAATAACTTTAAAATAGAATCTATTTGTTCTTTTGAAGAAGTTGAAAGAAGTCTTAATGATAAATATCTTTCAATATGTTTATATAATAAAGGAATAAGAAGAGTTGGACATTTTTCAATATTACAATTTATAATTGATAATATTTCATATAATGCTGAAAATGATTTTAATAAATCATTTTGTTTTGGAATATACATATGTCTAATAATTTTATGTGCAATAAAATTATGTGGTTGTTGTGAATGTATTTTTAAACATGAAGTTGAACATATTGGAAGTCCACAAAGAGCACATTGAATCATTTCACAAGCAGGTAATAATTTATTACAATGAGAACATATGGATAATATTGAAGGTTGAATAGGGTCAGTAAAAGATGGAGTAATATTTGTTATTGATAATAATGAAGTTGTAATTTGATCATAAAAATATTCTATTAAATCAGTAAAATGAATAATAAATAATGAAGGTTCAGAAACAAGTTTTGGAATAATTTCATTTAAAATAAAAATACCTGTTTTTTGAAGAGCTTCATTTGTTGTTAAAATTAAAAGTGTTATTAAATTAATAACATCAGGTAATAATAATGGGTATGACTTTGATGTTTCTAATGATCTAAATGCAATAGATGTACCAATAATAGCTACCCAATCTTTTGATGTTTCATCAATACTTAGTGTAGAACTCATTATAATTTGTAATGCTCTCATTTTAATATCATCAATTAATGTAGGTTGTGTAAGTAATTTTTCATAAACAATTTGTATAACTTTTGTTGATATTTCAACATTTGTATTGAGCATTGATTTAGCAAGTGCTTTAATACATGGCATCCAAATATTAATTACATCATTATTTAATACTTTAAGGTCTTTAACATTTTCAGCAATATTTGCTAATTTTTCAACTGCATAATGAGCTGCTTTATCATTTGGACATATAGAAAACATAGATAAAGTATTAATATAATATGGAAAATATGAATCAAAATATTCATCTTTATATTTCTCAAATTCAACTAATTTCTCAAATCCTGTCTCAACAATAATCATTTCTATATCTTCAGCTGCTGTTGATAATATTTGAAAAATATGTCTCCAATCAGAACATTTTTTTACATATGAAAGAACTAATTGTCTAACAGAT